TTATTAAAATTATAAACAGTAAGTACATTAAAAAATAAACAGAGTAAGCTAAGTAACAAGATCCTAAACTGAAGTAATATACAATGTAATATATACAATTGAGAATATACTCCCACAGGCCTACAGGAGAGATTGGAAGAAAAGGAAAAACGATATAATATGAAATAATGGACATAAAGGGATGTGGAGAAAGAAAATAAAAATAAAAAATAAGTAAATAAAATTAGAAGAATAAAAATAGAGACTTACAGGTGTGTTCAACAAAGAGTTTCCCTTAGAAGTGGAAAATCGGGGTAAAGGTAGGTATTGGGGAAATTTGTTGACCTGGTTGGTGAGCGGGTATGTAGTAAAAGTAAAAAAAAAAAAAATAATAAAAAAAACCCTGGAAAATTACAGTATCTAAAATTCGAAGATATGAATGGATACAAGGGAAAATACTATAATAAATTGTAAATATATATATATATATATATATATATATATATATATACATATAAAATAGATTTAAGAAATTATAGATAGGAATACAATGTGAATAAAAACAAAAATAAAAGTAGTAAAACGTATATAGAAGTAAAATATAAATATAAAAATAAGAGACCATACATTGTAAAACTAATTTAGAAGTATAGAGAGGAAACAAATATGAATAATTATAACTATAATTAGTTGTAAATATGTATAAAAATTACATTTAAATATTAGATAATATTGAAACATAATGGTTAAAAAGTAAAATGAATACAAAGTAAAAACGGATGATCGTACATTTATGTAGAATGTAAATATAAAATTAAAATAAGAGAGATCATACAAAGCAGAAATACTTAAAATAATGAACGATTAAATTGAATTAATCAATAAAAATTGAAAATAGATAAAAATAATAAGATGTAATAAATAAGTTATTTTTCACTTATAAGATTTAAAATGTGCCTATATGTTAAAGAAATGCAGTTTTTATCTACTTTATGATTAACAGGATTCAGTTGCATGTGAATGTGGATGGATTCGGAAATGAGTCTTTTTTCATGGTTAGGGACTGTGGCAAGAATAGAGGTTTTCAAATTCAAAATCAAATGAATGGTTGAAGGTTAAGGCATGTTCTGATAGTTTGTAGGCGGAAGGGTTCCGGGAGGTTATGGATGATTTATGTTGGGAAGTGCGGGTTTTGAGATGGTTTTTGGTTTCGCCAATATAGGAGCTATTACAATTAGGAGTAGAGCAAGGTATACGGTAAACTACACATTAGAACAGTGTTGTTTGATTCGAAATGTTCCTATAGATGATAGAGATGAGAAAAAGGATGTAATCAAGGGAAATTTCATATTCTTCACTTTAAGATTAATAAAAATAACCTTTAACTTATTATAAAACTAACTTCTTGCATTTCTTGACTTTCTTGCATTTCTTGCATCCAAGGACTCTTAGTGGACCGTGAGGGACCTTCTTAATTTTCCTAAGACTAAAGAAAAGCTGACAAAAATACAAGAAGAAATTATAGAAACTAAAAATATATGAAATAGAGGTCCAGAAGGTCCTGAAGTTTTATTGTTCCCATTTTTCCAGGAGGGTGTCAGGTATTCGTACATTGTCAGCTGCTGGTGCTTCTAATCATTAAAAATCCCAATAACACCATATCCACAGACTGGTACACTAAACCAACTTACACTGGCAGACTCCTTAATTTCCATTCTAAACATCCCTACCACCAAAAAATTAACGTTGCAAAAAATCTCATCCACCGTAGTCTTTCCCTCTCTGATCCCCAATTTCATGTTACCAATATCAAACGCATAAAACAGATCCTGTCAAACAATAATTTTCCTCTCCATGTCATTAACAAACTTATAACAGACCACAATAATCGCTCTTCCTTAATCTCAACTTCCACTAATTCTCCACAACCCATTTCAGCCCCTATACACAGATCTCTTACCTTATATTCCTAACCTTTCAGACAACATCAACAAAGTTTTACGATCTACTAACCCTAACTTACGACTTGCATTCAAATCTCACAACACACTCTCTAAATTATACACATCCCTAAAAGATCCTGTTCCTCTCTCACACCGCTCTCATATCGTTTACCGTATTCCATGTTCTACCCCCAATTGTTTTTCATCCTATATTGGTGAAACCAAAAATCTCCTAAGACCGCATAACCCAACATAAATATTCTGTATCCTCTCGTAATTTTACCGCTTCCAAATTATCCGAACATTCTCTCTCCCTCAATCATTCATTTGATTTCGACAAAACATCCATCCTTGCCACAGTTCTCAACCATGACAAACGACTCATTTCTGAAACCCTCCACATCCAGCTACAACCAAAGACAGTGAATCTAAAATCTGACAAACAGAACTTTTCGTTAGCCTACTCCCAAATTCTGAATTTATTAAATCATCCATAGTTATATTCCTTTCCTTTTTGCTGACAACTTCCTTATATATATATATATGTATGTATGTGTGTATATGTATATGTATACAGGTGTTGTGTGTGTATATATGTATGTGTGTGTATGTATGTATGTATATATATGTGTATATATGTATGTATATATATATATATATATATATATATATATATACGATATATTTTTATTTCAAGTTTTCTTCCTTATTACTCAATAGTTATTTTTCTTTTGAATTTTTCTTTCACTTTCTATTAACTTTCGTTTAATTTTCCATAAATTTTTCTGAGTAATATATCTCTCATACCTATTTACACTTCCAGCGCTTTAGTTCAAACTTTGTCGGATAACCGTTAGAGATGACGCCACCTACACATCTCTTCTCTCTCCCCCTCCCTTGTAACGACTTTTATTCTCCCTTCGACACTTAAGGAGACAGGTACTACTTCTTTTATTTCTTTCTTATTTCAGCTTTCTCAATTTCTTCCCTCCTTCCTTTCATTCCTTTTCTCTGTTTTTAACTCTTTATTATATTATACATTGTCTGTACATCTTTACAATATCTCAATTTTCTATCTAACTACTCCAATCTCAATGTTTTAATTTTACTATTTATTTTCATTTCTTAAATAACTTCATATTTCTTTTTTATGTTTTACATTTTATTCTAAGATTCCCATGGTAACACTTTTGTCACCCTTTTTGATTATGCTTACTTCATCGTTCCACACTTTGTAACGGTTTTTATTATTTATCTCTCAGTTCTTAGTCATTATTCTAACAATTTCATTTTACTTTATATTTATCTATTTTATTTTTCTAATTTTTTTATTTTTTATTAGCTTTTTTACCATCATTACTTATGTTTCTCATACCTTGTTATCTGGTTATTTTCTTAGCCCTGATGAAGGCCTGAACTTCAGGTCAAAATGTCGGCATATGTAAAAAATAAATATTATCATTTATTTTTGCCTTCCTTTTTGACTGACCACCCCAACTATTCTTCTCTTCTATAGCTTTTTCATTTATTTTTCCGGTAAATCCGTTATAAACTGTGTTTTTTGCCCAGAGCTCTATTAAAGTAATTGATTCATATTTATAACTGACAAACTAAATGTTCCTGAGCCTGATATTAATGTTTTTATTAATTGTTTGATTAAAATAATTGAAGCAATCAGCAGGTTTTTAAAATTTATTTTTAACGTAAATTTTAGGACTAGAAACTTTTATTTTGTGACTGACAAATACAGATAAATTCCTATAATAGAGATCTGGGTGAAAAACAGTTTATAACCAATTTACCCAAAAAACTTTTTTTAAAGATAAAATGTATGTTTAGGCAATTGGGTTTATTATAATGCATCCCAGATCTTGGGAAAACAGGGATACTTTTACTTGACAGGATAAAAAATATCATAATATTTTTACATGGGTGATAAATATTCAGGACACAGTCTTTTTTTTGTTTTAATTTTAATTTTTTATTTATGTCAACGTTTCAACCCAAACATGTGGTTCATCTTCAGGGCGTGGTTTGAGCACTGAGGTTGTTCAAGTACCGAGTACTGAGTACTTGAACACTCTCAGTGCTCAAACCATGCCCTGAAGATGAACCACATGTTTGGGTTGAAACATTGGCATAAATAAAAAATTAAAATTAAAAAAAAAAGACTATGTCCTGAATATTTATAACCCATGCTATGTAGAACAGTCGACTAACTTAATTCAATAATTTTTGTACATAATTTGAGCTTAATCTCAAGTTTTCCTTAATAAATCTCTACTTAATTAATACATTTTAAGATTATTAAACGAAGAAGTTAACGGTAGTACAGTTGGATAATGAAAAAAAAAAAAAAATTGCGAATAATTTATGATTTCTTTTTAAAACAGAACTTAGCTTAATTTTGAAATGAAAGTTTTGCAAGCATTAATTGTAGTCATTTTTACTGAAAACAGAGGTACTTTAGTTTCTCTCAAAAGTCCTCTGTAAATTGTTTTAACAATGATAAACTCTATGTTCATTTAAAGTAAATTTCATTTTGTTTACAATTGAGCAATTATTAATTATTTAAATTAAATATTTCTTTAGATATTGCTTTTGATTCAACAAAAAACAAGACTCGTTTAAAAAAAAACACAAAACTTGGATTACTTACTATTCCGCTGAAAATTTGCCCATTGTTTATATGAACGTTTTTGAAGCTATTGAGATCTGCTTTCATAACGATAAAAAATTTTCCTCTTACAGGACACCCTATATATATGATAAAGGAAATTGGGTTTAAACATTCAATTTTATGCTAATATCATTGAAATTTTGCTCTAAAAGTGCAAAAAATACAATCTTATACAATGAAGCTTAAATTGTGCAACTTAGCTTACAAAAATAACAAAATGTGAAATATTAAATTTTAAATATGTTATTCGACAGATCATGAAATGGATACATAATCAGTTTTAAATATATTACAGACAAGTGAATAAAATGTGTAATAACATGAAAATCCAGTCTTTATTTATGATTTTTTTTTAACTGTTTCATTTTATAAACAGAATATTTAAAAACTTTACTTACCAATAATGTTTCCATCTTTCATCCATTTAAATTTTGGTCTTGGAGCTGCTTCAGGATTGCATTTGATTGTCACATTTCCACCTTCTCCTGCATAAGTTTCTGGTTCAAGAGGGTGTTTGCGAAATGTTGGACGAAGAGCTGCAGAAGATAGATGGAAAAATTAATGATATAAAAACATACCAAGAATTCGATTGGAAAAACATATAAATGATAAAATAATCTTTAATCCATATAAATGATATATCTCTAACCTCCCTCATGGTAGCCAGTTAGTCTAAACCAGGTGTCTCCAAACTATGGCCAATGAAAGTTTCTTTGATTACATGGTAAAATTTTAAAACTATTTAAAAAATACAAAATTAAGTAAACCACTTAAACAGGAGGTTTCTACAACATTTATCGCATGAATTGTTTCTCTTAGAAAGCTCATTTCACAGCTGAAGGGTCATTTATTTATCATAAACCATTCGGAGGTTTCAAAACGGCCCACAGGACTTATTGGAAGTCTCAACACGGCCTGCGGGGCAAAAAGTTTGGAGACCCCTGGTCTAAAACATAGCCCTAAGAAAAAATATACTTTAATGATTATAAAATTTATACTACTAATAATAAAACAATGAAACCATTGAAAGTATGAATTGTTTACAAAAAGGTGTACTAAATATCTATTCCTTTTTCTTTTTTTAAGTGGCAGTTTGAACAACTTTATTGAAAATTAAGAGGTACAAAGCTAAAGCTCTAAAATCCCTCGGTGCATGTAAGAATGCTGTAGGGAAGGCATGGGGACTTAAGCCTCGGATGGTCTACTGGCTGTACGTTACAGCAGTCAGACCAGTGCTTTTATATTCAACTGTTGTATGGTGGCATAGGGCAAGAGTGGGCCACAACAGGATACAATTGGAAAAATTACAGAGATTAGCCTGTTTAATGAAAACTACTACAACTGCAGCTATGGAAGTAATGTTAGGTCTATTACCACTGTAACCGGAGATTGAAAAGCAGGCCTTGAAAACTTTTTACAGGCTACAAAAATTAAACTTATGTTCAAAGATAAACAACCTGGAGCGACATTGGGAAATAGTTCAAAAAATTGAGGACAGGTTGCTCACAATGCATTCTGACACTCAAACTCGAGAATTTCTCACAAAGATATATAATGTAAAAATAGACAGCTCAGGAAAACACAAACCCATAAATGAGATTAATTGTTATACTGATGGGTCACTTCTGACATGCAGATCTGGTGCTGGTTTTTGGAGAAGGGATAAACTAGAGGCTGTCATGTCAATACCACTTGGAAATGATGCAACAGTGTTCCAATCTGAAATACTGGTGATTTTCATCTGTGTCTCAAAAATGCTGCTTGACGGGTTAGCTGGAAGGAGAATTGCAATATATATTGACAGTCAAGCGGCCATATGAGCACTGGATAACTATACAACTAGATCTAAGGCAAACATTGAATGGGTTCCGGGTCACTCTGGAATACATGGTAATGAGATGGCGGATGAACTAGCTAGACTAGGCCCACAAATGATACCTATAGCTCCAGAACCCATCTGTGGAATTAGTCTGTGTCTAATAACAAACAGAATTGGGGAGATCTATGGTGCTGAAACTAAAAGGTACTGGTGCACTCATTCTAGACTGTTTCTGGAAGAAATCTGTCAAAAAAGAAATAATCTACTAATTATTCTGAGCAGAAGCTCACTTAAGAAAATTACAGTGGCATATACTGAGCACTGTAAACTGAATTATCACATGTTCAATCTGCGGCGCACGGAGTCGTCTCTTTGTAGGTACTGTGGCCAAGGATGAGACAGCTTATCACATTACTTGTTGGAGCAATAGGTTTGCTGGACTAAGATTCTGATTATTCGGCATTGATAGGGTGACTGATCCTAAGGCAAATGAGTTTATCAATCCAAAAAGCTTATTAAAGTTCATTGAGACTGCAGGAATTATGCTCTAAACAGGAGTGACTTTAATAAAGGTGTACAATAGAACTACATGGCCACAGTGCACTCATGCTGCTTTAAAAACAAAAAAAAATGAAAAAAAAAAAAACTACACACTTCTCCCAGTGATACTCCCATCTCTGTAACACGTCCAAAAAGTACTCGGCATTTTTATCTGCAAAATAATTGTTCACGAAGGTGATTGCCTCTTCATTTGATGAAAATCTCTATTGCCCTCCAAGCGCAATTTTTAGATAAGGGAACAAAAAGAAGTCGCTTGGCGCTAGATCTGATGAGTAAGGCGGATGGTCAAGCAGTTCAAACCGTAATTCGTGAATTTTCGCCATGGCGACCGCTGAGGTGTTAGACGGTGCATTGTCTTGTTGAAAAAGGATTTTCTTTTTCAACAAATGTGGCCTTTTTCATGCAAGTTCTGCCTTCAGCTTGTCAAGTAATGATGCGTAGTATGCTCCTGTAATGGTTCTTCTTTTTTGAAGATAGTCGATTAAAATAACTCCATGACTATCCCAAAAAAAGTGGTACAAGCACCAGTAAACCAAATTAAAATACTGAGATGTCTCTATCAAGGGAATATACCTTAGCCCACTATAATTTGAAATACAATTATTTCCACTGAGCAAGATACTATGAAGCAGACCTGGGCAAAAATGTATATAAAAATCCTTTGTTTAAAATAGGAAGTATTTTGTGTTTATACTATACAATTTTAATTACCCAATATTTAAGTATTTTATATTTGAAATTTAAATACTTATTAAACTAAATAATTAAATTAAGTAATTTAAAAGTAAGTAGTAATAGAAATACTAGGTGATTAAAATTGTATTTTAGAAAAACAAAATACTTTGCATTTTGAATAATGAATGTATTACAAAACACTTTTCGTCCACGTCTGCTATGAAGTAACTCAATACCTTAGTATGCAAGAAGTGAATGTCAAAAACTAGTTTAACTCAGTCAGCCATACTCGGTACATACCCGGTCAAATAATATTTATAACATGAAGTTAAAGCTTATAATATCTGAATCTTGGTTATTTTATAAAAAATAACAAAACACATAAATTATTAGTTTTTATAAGTTTAAATTTATCAACTTACTTAAAACTCTCAGCTGAGCAGAAGAATATTTTATTTTCAGATTGTTTTGGGCTCTGCATTGAAACATTGCAGGATCTGTTTCAGCATTTAAATATTTTATAGTTAAAACATTATCTTGGATTGCATAACGATTTTGATCTGAAGGAGGAAGACGGTCAATCTAAAAATAAATTCCAGTTTAAAATTTTCATATATTATTAGATAGTTTTCATAGGTTTCTTATTGAAATTAAAAAACTAATATCATAAAAATATCTTCATAACCTAAAAATAATTAAAAAGATATAATTTTTACAAAACAATCTTCTGAAATTTATATAAAAGTTAAATTTTCAAGAAAAACAAAAACCTAATTAGGTTTAACGCACCAGTAATGGACAGTTTGGATTTTAAATGTAAATCATAAGTTTCCTTGTTGATTTAAAGATTCCAGTTTTTTCTAGATCAAAGAACAATACACTCTTTTGACAACAAAGTTCCCAAAAGAAGATTTTAGAATGCCTATCATTATTGTTTCTTCAGAGCTCTTGAGATCAGTATGTTTCTTATCTTCTTACTAACAGTTTTGCTAAGAGTAAGTTGAACATTTATGTTCTTAGGTGTTTAAATTTTAGAGTTTCCACAATGAAAATATTTAATTTACCACTTTCAAACCTCAGCTATTCGATTTTAGCATTAAATTTAATTGAAATTAACGTTTTTACTACTTTTAGGAGGTATCCATTACTGGATCAAAAAACAGTCCAAATTTAGTTATGGACAGCCATGTCAATAACTGGTGCTCTGCACTTTTACTAAAATTTATAATATTTTTGTAATTTCTGAGTCTAGGAACAGTGACAAATCACCACATTGTATTCTTAGTTTTTCTCTAAAACATCTCTAACCAGTCTTAGACAGGTGTGTCCATCACTGGGCCCAACCAAGTCCATTACTGCGCCTACTATGTCCATTACTAGACATGTACATCGATTTTACCTGTTTAATAGAATCTTTTGCTCACTTTTGACTGTAAATACACAGTCAAATATTTATAAGTCATATAGGTATGTGTGGCGTGTCACACAACATTATTCCTACCAATTCTCCGAAAAATTACATAAAAAGTTGTCTCTTTAAAAGGTTATTATTCATTTTTTGTTTTAAAAATTGAAAAATCGAATTATTCTTCCATAGAAAAAAAAAGTGTTACAATATAAAAAGAACCAACTTTGCAATAGAACAGATTCATAAAGTTCCTACACTATTTCTTTGCACCAAGTTTACGATACAGCCAGTATAAAGGCTCTTGCCTTTATACCGGTAGGATCGGTGTTGTTCTGTTCTTCAAAGATATAACTGTGTTATTGCAAGTTGTGTTGTTTATAGTGCTTTATACTTATTAAAGATTATCAGTGTTCCAATTATTGACTTTTTTGATGATATTTCAAATTATTATTCTTAAATAAACAAAAAGCTAAGCAATAACTTTAGATTATATCAAGACAATTGAGCTTGAGATAAGGATGGAGATTAAGCAGCACTACATCTCTCACTCCCCACTACCTCTCTCATATCTATAACTTTATAAGACAGTAGCACAGTTACTTAACGATGACGCTGTGCCGAAATGCAATAACATGATCCGCAGAGAAGATAAGGCAACATTAGTTTGCTCTACATGCAAACTAATTTTCCACAAAAAAATGCTGCAATATCGCTGAGGCCGATGTATCGCAGCAATCAAAAAAGAATTGGTTCTGCCTTACGTGTGTAGAATCAAGTATTTATAAGTCATATAGGAATGTGTGGCGTGTCACACATTATTCCTACCAATTCTCCAAAAAATTACATAAAAAGTTGTCTCTTTAAAAGGTTATTATTCATTTTTCGTTTTAAAAATTGAAAAATCGAATTATTCTTCCATAGAAAAAAAAGTGTTACAATATAAAAAGAACCAACTTTGCAATAGAACAGATTCATAAAGTTCCTACACTACACAAGCCACTACGGCCGCTAAGTTGTCAGAAGGGAGCAATACCTCTATATTAGCCGAGGTAAAAAAGATAGCTGAAGATATCAAAGAGGTCAAGACATTGCTAGGAAAGCAGAGTGACCTAGCATTAGAAAATAATGTAAGATTGAGAAAAATAGAAGAGTTAGCACTAAAACAAGAAAAAATCATTGAAAATTTAGTGAGTGAGAATAAAACTCTTAAATCACAAATAATTGTCCTTAAGTCTAGGCTTAACCAAGCAGAACAAGCCCAGCTGGCAAACAACTTGGAGATAAGAGGTATCACGGCTGACCCGGGTGAAACGACAGAGAGCCTAGTTTGTTCCATAGGGGCAGCTCTAGGTATAAAATTAAACGTTGAGGACCTAAATTTCGTGGAGAAGAGAAGACCCTCGGCCACCGCCCATTGTCGTACGGTTCGTCTGCCAGACAGTACGCGATGAGATCATACGCCTGTGCAAAGTAAAGAGAGATTTCACAACAAGACATTTAGGACGGGACACTGATGAAAGGATATACATAAGCAAAGAAATGAGCCCTGGCAACAAACACTTATACTGGTTGGCGAGGCAAAAAAAGGCGGCAGGGAAGATGAAGTGCCTCTGATTTGTTGGAAGAAAAATTAAATATAGAAGAGAAGACAGCTCCCCTATCAATCTCATTTGTAAAAAAGAAGACATTGAAGCCATACAATGAAGTATGTTCCAACGTTCCCTAAAATCCTTATGTCTTGAAAGTCTTATATATTTTTTGTTTTTTAACTTTGTTTACTCAAGCAGCTGTTCATTTCATTTTTTTATTATTATTTTCAAACGTAGAAGATATTTATTTTATGTTAAATTAAACATTATTTTTTGCTATGGTCATTCTTGCTTACGTTTTTTGATTAAAATTTGTGTTTATTATTCTACTCTATTATTTTCTGCATATTACGATATACTGTTAAAAATGTACTCTCTCCTCTAATCTTAACTTCGTTCTATCCCATCCTACTGCTTATCCTTTAGTTAATTCATTAATGACTAATACATTAATCTCCTGCCACGTTAACTCCCAATCCCTTCCTTCACATTATGACGAATTCCTAGATTATTTTCACCACAATTTCTACCATATTATTGCAGTATCAGAAACTTGGCTCAAACCTGACATCCCCTAACCATCTGTTTTCTTACCCAACTATACCCTCTTTCGTCATGATGGGGCGGATCGATCTGGAGGAGGCATCACTCTGTCCGTTCATGATAGCTTGAGGGCCAAAATCCTTTTAAAATCACCTTCTTCTGATATCCCACACATTGAATATCTATTTGTCCCAGTTTTCTCTAGAACCTTCTCCTTACTCTACATCGTTATTTATCGCCCTCCTCGTATCCGATTTGATCCCACATTTGAATCCTCCCTCCTTACACATATCCCTCTGTTTAAAAATGTCATAATTGCAGGTGATCTCAACACCAACCTCCTTTCAGTCTCTCCGCACAGAACATACCTTATCGACCTGTTTTTCTTCCTAGACCTATTTATTGTACTTTTTCCCACCCATCATACAGAGTCCACTGATACCTGGCTAGACTTATTTATCATCGATTCCACACAAAACCTATCATCCTCCACGCAAAACCCTGTTTCCTTTCTCCCATCCCATGATCTTATCGAAATCTCATACAATGTTATTATTCCTAAAATTGTCCTCAAACAAATTTCCTAGAGAGATCTTGACTCCATAACCATTGAAAACATCAGACCTTATCTCGATTCCTTATCAGTTTCCTTAGACCCTATCTACTCCCTTTCTTCCATCGATGACATGGTGGAACACCTTCCCTCTAACCTTCTTGATTTCCTTAACAATCATGCTACCCTTACAACCCATACTTTTAGACGTCCTCCTGCTCCTTGGATAAATTCAGAAATCAGAGAGATTATGAGAGGAAGAGAGGCTGCCAGAAGACAATACAGACATACACGACTACCCCAACACTATACTATATTCAAATCTCTACAGAACAGTATATAAATATTCTTACGCCGGGCCAAAGCTCAATAGTTTAACAATGTATTATCCCAAGCACCTAATCCTAAATCCAAATGGACAATCCTCAGGAAACTCTCTGACATAAGCTCCAAAATCTGCACACTTTATCCAGTAGATTCGAACAAACTAAATACCTTTTTTTGCAAACCATCCCACTTCTGTATTCACATCTGACCCCGTACCTTATTCCATCACTGAAACCTCCTTTGACTCAGATAAGTTTTTTTTTCTTGATATCTCTTCAACTGACCTACTCTCTACAAATCCAAATATCCTTAAATCCAAAACCAACGACTATGGTCCTGACAAAATCCTATGAAAATCATTAAACTCTGCCTACCAAACTTACTTCCTATACTCCTACACATCAACAATTTTCTCCTCCAAAATTCTATTTTTCCAAAAGCCTGGAAAAGTCATTGTCCGCCCATTGAACAAAGTTCCAGCTCCTTCACTAGTATCCGACTTCAGACCCATTTCCATTTTATCCAAGCCTCTAGAAAGATTAGTTCATTTTTAGTTGAACAACTTTCTAGAGCAAAACTGTCTCCTCAATACTCTACAATCCAGTTTTCATTCCCAATACTCCACCCCATCTGCCTTATTTAAGAACACCCAAGACCTCCTTCAACAAAAAGAAATTCTCCATGCTAATCCTTTTCGACTTTTCAAAAGCCTTCGACTCCGTCAATCATAATATCCTCATTTCCAAACTCCAAAGCCTACCCATATCGAATAGCGTTCTGGAATGGTTCCTCTCTTTTTTACCCCATCGCTCCGAGACAGTTGTTATTCCTGACAAATCTCCTTCCTTGTCTCTTCAATTAACACGAGGTGTTAGTGAGGGATCCTCACTCTCTCCAACTCTGTTCTCCATTTATATAAGAGACTCCATTAGTCATTCCCACTATCACTTATATGCAGACAATCTATAAATCTACTTATCGTTCCAACCATCTGAGACACCCGAGGCTATCCGAAAACTACAAGAGGATATTGACTGTATCCATAGGTGGGCAGAAAAAAATAAACTGAAGTTGAACGCAGACAAAGCTAAATACCAGATCTCAACCTATAGATTTATATATCCTATAAAACCACTTCCTTCAGTAAATCCTTCGTCATTCG